CCCCGCAAACCTACTCGAGCAGGCACTTAACCCACTGCAATGATAGTTGATGGCTAAAATCAATCGGCGTTGGCAAATAAATTCGCTGCAAAAGTTGGCTATTGAAAGTTCGCTTTGGATTTGATAAATTTATCTAGCAAATTGCAAACTTATCGCTGCCAACAGCAGCAGCAGGATTGTAGTATGTGCAAGTGTGTGTGTGTGTGTGCGCGCCCTCTGAAAGCTAAGCTGGTAAACCCGTTTATCCAGCAACTATCAATTGGTCAGCGTACACTTGAGTGCGCACTTAAAAGTTTAAGCCAACCAACTGCCGTGCCACTTGCCCGCTTGCAGCTCGAATAAAGACAAAAGCAGCTACATAACTGTCAGATGTATTGAAGCGTTCGAAAAGCCAACTATCAAATTGGATCTCAGCAGAACAATGCGGGCGTTTCTCTCGAGCGACCAAGAAGCTTTCCATTTAATCTCTAACTTGATTCAAATCAAAGTAGTCACTTAAAAAACACAGAAGCACATTGAAGATTCAAGCAATCCAAGCGCTTTAAAGTTGATTTTTCGTAGCCAAAGCGCTACATTATTAGTTAGAGCACAATCTGAGCACAGGCACTCCCTTCAACTGCCGGCACACACCCTCCACTTCTTGTCCATTGCACACCACCTGTCCGGCATGTGCCCGCTCGTTTGTTAGTAATTTCAATTTATTGCCACTCTGCCATTTGGGGGCCACACATCTTTATAAATATTAAAGTCAAGCAAAAAGGATACAATTTTCTGCAGCTCCTTCGTACTCATCAGCTGCCATCAACACTCGTTTTCATTATCGTTGCCGACGTTCGACAATGTCACAACTCACAATGGTCCTTTGTCAATGCAAAACTCGTCTGATAAGTGTCATTATTGCATATTTTAATATTTTCTCCATAATATTTCGTGTACCACCCACCATATGTGTATGTGCACCACTACAAGGACCTCTCATCATCCTGCTGCATGTATACATATGTACATCGTTGGCAAGGACACTTGCCTGTGCTCTTTTCATTATCGTAATAACAAGACTAGTGTCCTTTCCGGTGATCGGTGTGCCTCCTGTGCCCCTATGCCACTGATGATGCTAGTGGTCCGACAAGCGCAATGCTCAAAGGGGTTGGCTGAACTATTTTCAGTGCATAGAAATCTTGCATGCAAAACTAAAAATGTATGTATATATGAATGTACACGTGTGTCTATAAAAGTGTTAGTAGCGGTAGCAAGTAAGGTAGTAAGTAGCTGCTAAGCAAACATAGCTAGTAGTAATAAAGTAGCTGTTAGTAGTAAAGTGATTTGACTTGCCATTCGACTAACCTATCCTTTGCCTTGTCATGTTGCGGTATATGCTGTGGCGGTGGCATGGAGTAACACGACGCTGGACTGGGTGAGTAGCCGCCTGACACTGGTGTCGGATATCCGCCGGGACCGACAGCAGTCGCATAAGGATTGCTGCATTGATATGCGGCTGGACCGTAGCCATGATAGCCGGCTGGGGGATAATCAGACTGTACAACCATGCCATAGCCGGGATGAGGTGAATAGCCTAGTTGTTGAGGGGAAGATGGTGAGAAGAGAATTCAAAGAAATATGTTAAAGATAAAACAAGAACTTTACAGTTTTTAATCGATCGATTTGAGCAGAAAAATTTGCGCTTCATAAAAAACCTAAAAAAAAACGCTCCCAGCCACTTACCACTTGGATCGCGATAGCTATCGATGTAGTGTGAGCCACCACTGTCCGGCGTAGACTCACGACTGTACGGTCGCGGTCCGCCGATATGTCCGACGAGCCCAAAACCGAGTGGTCTTGGTGGACCGCTGAAATCGACGGGCTCCATTTGTGGTGAACGTGGCGCGCCGTTGGCACCTGTGGGTGGTAGACCTGGTCCAAAGCCTTGTGGGTGTCCAACGACTAGACCGTCGGGGTGTGCACCATACTGAGGACTTGTGATAATACTGAAACAAGAAGAAAAAGAAAAAGGTGGTTAGTTAATAAGTCATTTGCTTGAACTTTGGTTTGTCATATTTTAAGGAATGTGGCTTAAGATGCGGGATGTGTTGGAATATTCTCGGGACTAAAGGGGATCTAATAAACTTCAGTGTGCAAAGTAAGTAAACTCTAGACTTCCTAAAGCGCAAACTTAAGTAATTACAGTGATCTCCAGCCAGTGTGGTACCGCAGAGGCTCTAACCTAAAAATATATTACGATGCACCACTGGATTGATGACGCTATATAGATTGGATCTATGGAAAGGTCACTCTGGTATCCTGAACTTTGTTACTGACAAATAAGAGTCGAATCAGCATACTTCTTTTCCCTGCGACCCTAGTTCAACCGTCTACCACACTAAAAATCAAATTCGAAATATGTTCCCCAACCAAATTTTGTCATTTGACAGCTAAAAGTAACATTTGATGTTCATATCTCCAGAAATTTTCTATTTCTCAAAATTACCTGTGTGACAGACGTGTGACGCTCAGGTCCAACGTTTGTCCTTGCGGACTTGGCACTTGTGGACTGGCTATGTTCGGACTCGCTCCTGGCTGTGGACTACCCGCGCCCATACGCTGACTGTATTGGTTATGCGATGCTGGCGAGTTGAAACCATGCGGACTGGACGAGGTTACCGACGCGGAGGCTGACAAGTCTACGACCGGTGCACCAGGCGGTGATGGTGAACCACTCTGCTTCGGTTGTTGCTGCTGCTGCTGTTGTTGTTGTTGTTGCTGCTGATGCTGCTGCTGTTGTTGTTGCTGATTTTGATAAGCCGCCGCAGCTGCTGCAGCTTGTGCTGCCGCCATTTTCACCGACAAATTAATAGCTGAAAAACCCGGTGGCAATGGACCCATACTCGGATCGTAGTGATACATGGGACGTGGATATATTGGTCCACCATTGGCGAGCTCATCATGCTCCGCCTTGGCCATTAACATTTGTTGCTCCTGCAAGTATTTCTGTTGCTGCACTTGCAAGTCGTCCGCTGTCTGTGGCAGATAGTGGTACATATTGGATGGTGGCCCCTGACGTTGACCATTGCAGATGGGGTCGTAACGTTCGAAGGCTGTAGGCATGCCGGAAACACTGGATACGCTCGTGGCATCAGCGTAAGCGGCAGCGGCGGCTGCAGACGATAGTGATGTGGGTGGATTCGTGTCGTAGGGGCGCGCATTGGGCGATAGTGTATTGGTGGGTGCGCCATTGGCGGTGAGCATCTCCTGTCCGTAGGCGGAGGTGGGTGGTTTGCCGCCACCTAAACTGCCGTCGCCACCATTCACCATGTGTTGTGTATAGCGCATATGCTCGTAGTGCTGTTGGTGTTGTTGTTGTTGTTGGTGTTGCGTATCGTCGTGATGACCGTCGGTGCGATATGCATCGGCACCATTTACGGAAGTGCCATTGCCGGCGGACATCATTAGCGATGATGAGTCTTCGATGAATGGACCACGTTGCTGATGCAGCGTATGTTGTTGCTGTTGATGGTGGGGATTATGTGGGCTTTGTTGTTGTGCATGTTGTTGTTGTTGTTGTTGTTGCTGCTGCTGCTGTTGATGTTGCTGCTGATGTGGATCGGCCATTGTATGTGGTGGTTGCGGTGGTGGTGGCTGCTGTTGCTGTTGCATGCTCACGTAGCCGGACGCTTGAAGTGTTCCGGTCGCACTTCGGACGCCACTCAAGTGCGGTGCGTGCAAATTGTCCGAACTGGTGGTGGACACTGAGCCAGAATTATGCGGCGCACCGTTGGAAGAACGGTCTGTTGAGCCAATGCCGCCGCTACCAGCGCCACCACCGCCATTGCCACCGTTACCGACGCTGGTGTCCGCACTGTTCATGTACGGGTGCATGGGACTTTTATTGTATTCGGACTTGACGCTAGCGACCGGACTGAATTCCGTTTTGATAATTGGCATTGCGTTGCTCGCCGTACTTGAGTTTGCCGTCGAGTTCGAATTTGCGTTGAGACTGAGTGCGTTGTTGCTGCCGGATGTCGTGCTGTTGTTGCTGCTACCGGTCGTGTCGTGACTGTTGTTATTATTTATGCAGCTGATGTTGTTGTTATTCAAGTATTGATTCGTGGTGATTTTCAACTTTTCCAAATGATGCAACTCCTTCGGCTCGGACTTGAATGAGTCTACAACAGCTGTGAGTGAGAGATAAACAGTGTGAGAGCGTGCGGGTTTGCTTGTGGGATATGGAATTTGTAAACAAACTTCTTTAATAGAAAAATGAGAGTTACAAAACAATTGTACGATAAACTTTAACAAAAGCAACTTCGAAGCATCGTTTAGAAGGGTAGAGATTATTGTAACGTGTTTTAAAATTATAAAAAAAATAGACGAATGCCTCTGAATCGGCAACAAACCTTCGTCCTCCGCATCAACTGCCAGCTGCAGGGGTTTTAATATGCTTATTGTTTTTGGCTCTCTTCTCTGAATAGGTTCACAAAAGTTATTAGCTATGGTCGTTCGTGAATGCGGTGCGCTTTTCTTGCTTGTCGCCGTTTGTTTCTCTATGCTGGCCGCTTTCTTGACGGCGGCGCGTTTTACAGCCTTCGGACAACCGGACAGACTGCGATGTACACTACGATGTGCTTGTACATGGCCGCGTCCATTGCAGCCTGGCGTGGGACATTTGAGAATCTGCTCATGCAAGGCCAACACTACGATTTTGGTGGTGGAAATGTAGCACCCATTTAGGTGGCATTGGTAAGGAAAAATAATTTTTATTAAATCAATGAATTCGTTGTTTTGGAAATATTTTGTTTAGACGAGCAACAACATCGTTTTACTACGACCACGTTTACGATCAGGCATTCCAAATATGCAGTTCAGAGACAGAGTGAGTTAGAGAGAAAGAGAGAGAGACATTAGTTTGCCGACGAGCAATAGAGCAAATAGTTGGCTAATGGATAGTTGGTTAGTAGAGTAATGAAGGCGTTCAACATAGAGTTGCAAATAGTGTCAAGGAGAGAAATAGAATAACTAGCGTTTAGCCATAGATGGCAGTATCATCTGAGCTTTTCCCCGAATACAAAAAGCTGAATCACCCTATAGCACTTTAGATTTGTAAATAAAAATGGTTTAGCTTTTTAAAGCGGTCACTGCATAATCTTACATTTTTATTTGCATTTAAATTAACTCGAAATGTGTACTCATAATCTCTACCCCATTTATTTAGAAAGAAATTGAGACTAAAACAAAAATTTGAAATAAAATTTTAAATAAATAAAAAATAAAGGAACCCATAAAGCAGGATATACTTAATTACTGCACTAGGAAGTGAATGAATAAAACATATACGTATACAGAGATGCATAGAGTTCATCGAGTGTTTTCATGCAACATTAAACAACTAAAATACATTCATGCTTTATACATTTTAATTATCCCAATTCTGATTGTAGGTACCCGTTTTTTTTCGACAGCTGTCAGTTCAATGATGTCGCGAAAGGCGAGAACGACACTTTTTGACATATTTTTAATACATAGCTACAAATTTCAAAAGGCATATGGAAATACAATGGGTTATTCCATTGCCTTGGTAATAATGGCAATGAGAATGTCAATTTACGTCGAACGACTATCGTACCTACAATCAGTAGGGGTGTGAATAGCTACTACACTTTTATTTTGGTTCAACTTACATTCCGAGGTGACTTTATCACGTTTTGGACAGCCAGATAAGCTGAGAAAAGTACAAATCGTCAAGTATATACAAATTGTTTAAGGAATTGCAACAAATTACAAAAGTACGACGTTCTTTTGAATAGAGAACGTATTAAAAATTTTCTAAAGAGTTCACACTTCATAAATTGCTGTATGTATACCTACATATTGTTACCTTAATATAGAAATGCCCTAACTCGTTTTCAACCAGATCTTATAGAATGTGAAAACTAATGCTACAGCGTTAGATAAAATATTATGTTTAATACAAATTAGAACTCCAACGAAACTCGCAAGTGTAGTACTTTGCTTTTCGCTGAATTTTCAAGCTATGTTTGATGGAACAAAAATGTGAGATAAGGCTTTTCTATTTTTAATAAGGTAACGATATGTATGTTTGTAGTAATAGTATTGCATTTCCAAAACCATTATCATGATGGATTGTCAATCACGAAAAAGCAAAAAAACCCTGCAGACCAACAACTGTATTTATCTCATTAAAGATGCGGCGACGAGTGGTGGACATTAACATCAATATCTCTTTGGAAGATCTAAAAGAAATATTTAAATCGAATATTTAATCGTTGAGTTTTTCATCGCCTTATGTTATACCAAAGCGTTATACCGAAACGCCATGCGCCAACGATAGTAAAAGGCGTGTGTTTAAAAATTACCGTTTCGTTGTTCTTTTACAGCCAATTTCATTTAACAACACAACAATAGTAAAAATAACCTAATCCCCTGTGAAGGTTGCTTGAGTGTAGCCTAATGTAGATTTAGATATATGAGCAAATCTAACGACTTGTTACCTTTTTCGACCAAATCCTGTTTTTGGTAGAAAATGGTGGCACACTTATCTTAGAAAATGCATTATCTTCAGTTTTGCATCAAGACCAAAATTCGATTGCGAAATTATATTTAAAAGAAAACTTAAAAAAGATATACTAAAGAAAGTCATAATAACAAGTCGTGCTCATATACCCGTACCTAGTTGTGCATGTAACGTATACGCTCCATACTACCATACACTGTATGCTAACACGTTTGCTCGCACGCCTTAACTTACCAGTCATTTTATTTAAAAGTAATTAAATATTGGCCTGGAATAATTCTCTACAGTATTATTCACGAATGTATATATGTACATATTAATTTTTTCATGTACATATATAACAATTTCAGAATGAATTTCGAGTATAAAAATTGTTAGGTTGGAATTTTTGTTTCGCAAATCATCGTCATTGTATAAGCAATGCAATTTTTTCTTTAATTTGGTGGCACACTAGTTTTATACCTCTAGATTGGTTCGTTTTGGCAAGAAGAATATTTTAAGAGTTTCATTTTGACATTTTGAGTTATCCTAAAAATTTAAATAAAAAAAATCGTAAAATTTCATTTGATTTAATTTGGTGGCACACTCTGGAAACTTCACAGATATGCTATATTTGAGGCCATCTTTGATTGCCTCTAATATGAATATTCCATTTGAAAACTTCCCAAAGTTATTAAAAAACTAGTTATGATTTTTTCCAGTGACAATTAGTAATTTAGGTACTTCTTCGCCTAAATAAACGTTTTAAGGCTAAAATTGTTTCAACATTTGATTTAGTTTTTATTGCACTTTTAACTGGAACCAGGAATGCCTAAGCAATATTAACAAAAGCAACGAAAATATGCTGATGCTGTACTTCTGAATTTGTCTTGCTTCAAAAGCAATATTCATGCTTTTGCTTAGGCTTCGAAAAAAAAACGAACAGCCACAGCAGCAGCACGAGAAGAGCTGCAAAGCAAACGAATGTTTGCTTTCCGGCACTAATGCGATGCTTATCAGCAAAGGCTTTTTGCTGATGCTTGCTTATTGAAAAGTACGAAAGAAGAAGCAGAAAAAATTGATCGGCTTTCGCAGTTCATCAGTTGCTTCTGCTGCCATATTTGAAAACGAAAACGCATAACCACAGCAGCAACACGAAAAATGATTGATTGATTTCGAAGATGAGACAATGGCGAAAGAGTCCGTTACTTTTCCCATACCTATATCCTAGACTGATCTCTGAACGAGTTACATTAAGAAGCCTCGTAAAACGAAAACAAACCCCAGTTTTGGCGCCCTTCTTTCACTGGAAAAACTCTCACGTCAGACCTGAAATAACCTGGAAGAAAAAGCCAATGTAATCTACTATACATGCGAGAAGATTTTCAGTAGAAACGGCGAAGTATCTTATAATACAAAGATTAGCCTACGGTGGTGCGCTGGTTGGTGAAAAGCCGTGGTTAAGAAATACGCCGCAAAAATATTACGAAGAGCTTACTGAGCAGATTTTTACAGTGCTACGGGATCAATTAAGTTGTCTATTTACTAGGACAGCAAACTCTGGAATTAAACTCAAAGAGTCAGCGTGATCGAGGTTGGAGCCATGCGCGCTTAGAGATATTCTTTACAAGCCTTTAGAATCAGGCACAATCAGACTGAAGTTTCCTCCTATCCAAGCTGACGGGTACAAAGGGACTTTGGTGTGGCTGTGAAAGTATTCTTTGAGACACAATTAAACGACGATATTTGGAAGGACTTGTTAAAAAAAAAATTCAGCAAATTTGCTGCCAAAAACTGGTATTCGTAGAGGCTTTCAAAAGTGAGTTTAAATTATGAAGTCCTCAGAGGAAATAAATAATGAGTAGATGCCTCACCGGGCCAATTGAAACCAAACGTGAATTTCATGAGTCGTGAGCCAAGAAAAAAGGAGAAGAATACTTAATCAGTACGGTCAGATAGGGAACACATTGAAAAGTTATAGGGAAAATAAATATGTATTTTTGGTCTTTTGCGAAAGTTTTGAAATATCTCATGCGTGGTATTGCATTCCTGTGGTTGCACACTTAGCGACGAATAGTTTTAAAGTGTTAAGTTAGCCCGAGTCATGCTCTTTTGAAGCTTAAGCTATATAATGTTACGAAAGATATTTATAAAGAAAGAGTCGATGTCGCAACAATTTGTATTTATTTTATTTATTTGTAGTTTTAGTTTTTCAAATATACCACTAGTAACATCATAGCATTTATTTTCGTGTGAACTCTATTAAAATAATATTTAGTTGATTTTTCTTAAGTTTTATACCTGCGATGATGTGAGTAAAGCCCTGTGATATGTCCTTGGCCGTTACAGCTTGGCGTGGGACACTTGGTGCCATCTGTAACGAATGGGTGAGGAAATATGTAAAGACTAAAAACAGAAAAACGACGCACAATGTCATATAGTACAGATAATATTTAAAAGAAGATTATCTAAATATTGAATAGGAATGCAATTAAAGAAAAATTTTAATTCCGAAAAATATATACATATGTAAGTATATGTGCAAATCGGCGGCTAAAATAAACTGAAAAGTGAAGTTATTAAAATGCTTCATCACGAAGTCAAATAATTTAAAATGTTTCTAGAAACTGCCAGTCTTCTAAAAATTTCACGACCCTTCAAAATAAGTGAAAGAATGTTTAAGTTTTTGATAAGTATATCAGAATATGTAATGCTTTGCCATTTACTTCTATGTGAGTTTTAAATATTCTCCGACACACACAACTAACAGCCGGTTTCTTTGGAGGTTCACAAATAATTTTTACTTTTTAATTAATTAAATGAAAGCAAATAGCAGACTTGACAAGCGTATCTTTTCGTATATTCACCCATATACACTTACATACTTACAAATGCATGTGTGTTTTTGAACGCATACATGCATACATTTTGAAAAACACTCAGCTTCTGTAATGAGTACTACGTATACTTCGAGTACTTTTTGGAATTTTTCCTAAATAATAAATTAAAATTTGATGGAAAACAGCTTTGCATTATTTACCGCACACGGGTAGTAGAAAGATGCCAAACACACAAACATACATAGCAGGTACATACATATACTTTACACACATCCAAATAACAACATTTTATTCAGCAGCAAATAAATTAATCGGTGGGGGGTAGAGTGGTAGCATACAAAAAACCTGTCTCAGACGTGCACACATTTGCTAATGTAGAACGCTTGTATGCACCATAGTGTGTGTGTGTGTACGGGAGAGAAAAAGGGGTGACATTTTTAAGCTAAATGAGTTGGGGTTAAGAGAGGTTATGGAAAATGTTTAGAAAATATTTTTGTCTATTACGTGCGAGGTTAAAGAACAGGGAAGAATATTGAGAAGCAAAAATATGTACGCATGTATGTATGTATGCAAAAGCATACGTGGATTCAGCATAGACAACGCGAACTTGCAGTGAAGTTAGTGTGAAGCTGTGTACTATCTACCTGAGACATGCAAATGCTTAACGTCTACTAATTAGAATTTAATGAAAATAAGCAAAAATGACAGATGAAGCGGCTAGGGTGGCAATGGATTCGAAAGGTAGCTACAGTAGTCCTTGGCAAAGCAACGTAAAACTATTGGCTGCTGGTAAGTTGATTGAAATTAGCAAATAGTTTCTGTGGAAGCTTAAATTTTTTGCAACTTTTTAAAATATTAAATTAAAATGTACATTTTATCTTATCTATGTAAGTATGTATGTAGATTCCCTGCATACCAAAGTACCCGAAATCTTAACGACATCTTTAGGAGTATCTCATTTCTGTAACGATTTTTTACGAATATTTAAAGAAAATTGTATAAAGTGGTTGACACGAAGTCGTAAAGAAATTTCTGTACGAAAAATAAAGAAAATTCTGAAAAAATCTGCAAGAAATTTTTCACATAGCACCATTACTTTCATTGCTTTACCGATTTTCTTTAGAAATTTCGTAAAAGAATCGAAGTGTGCACAGTTTATTTTATTTTAGAAAATTGGGCAAAAAATCGGATGGGATCTTTACGAATTATTTAAAATTTCTGTATAATTCAGAATGCTTTGACAAAATGGTTTGCAGGGTTCTTTCCGAAATCAATGTACATGTGACAGTTCACGTGACATATGTATGTTCGACTGAAGTTATACACAGACTATACATTTTTGGCCATTTATTCAAAATCTGGGATTCAAAAAAAAAAACTGTAAAAAAATTTGCTTTTTAAAAACTAACTACACTGCCGGAACAAAGTATTGGCACAGAAAATTTTTCACAATATATGCAACAATTTTCATTCTAATAATTTTCGGCTTACGCAGTCTCTTCCATACAAAAAATGTTTTTCGAAAATACTTTATATGGAAAAAAATGCAAAACACCTTCAACAAAAAAATCCTCAAAAATCAATGCGAACTTGCATTTTTTTTACTAGAATTTAATGGGCTGCAAAACTGCATACTCAAAACAATTCTAAGAAATCTGATTAAAAAGTTGAAAATTTTGATGGAAATTTGCCGAATTTTCGCGAGTTTTGCACAAAGTTTAGGATTTTTATTTTTATGTTTTTTTGTTGTTGAATGAACCATATTTTTATATAAAATTGGCGGAAAATATTAGAATAAAAATTGTTGCATATATTGTGAAAAATTTGCTGTGCCAATACTTTGTTCCGGCAGTGTAAATAATGCTGAACTATTCTAAACTTCACTAGTACAGCATCATTATGCATCAAATATGGCATATAGATGGTTCCAAGCTAAACGAAAGAGTGGACAGCGGTAATTCAGGTGAATTCGCACTAAAACCTCAGTTTTCTCGTAGCGGTCCATTGTAGGGTCTTCCGAGCGGAGCTACACGCCATAATGAAGGCCGCTTGGTCGCTCTTAGCTTCCTCCCCTCCAGAACGGGCTATAGAATGTACAAGGGTTCTCAATACGCTACCGTCAAAATACTCCTTGATGTCCCTGGGCTCAGATATATTCCTGACAACTGTATAGCCAATGAGCTGGAAAAGAGGGGGACAAAAATGTCCGAAGTTAATTTTGCTCAAGAAGCGGACCTACCTTTCACCTCCTGCAAACACAGATTAAAAGCTAAACTCATCGAGCAAGCCAATGCCAAGTGGACTCTGGAAACTACCTGCTGTCATACTACTAGGCAAATCCATAGATCTCACTCTACTTGACCGCTCTTCTCTCAGATTAGTAGTCGCCGGAGGCCCTACCTTATGGGCACGCATGGAAAGAGGTAGGGATATTCAATCAGAGACTTTTGTCGCAGTTGCAGAGACGAGGAAGAGGAGGAATGCATCGAAGTCTATCTCTGCCACTGTCAAGCCCTTGCCAATACGCAGCGAACATTATCGATTTGTTGTGCTACATACATCGCATTTGGTGGTTAAATTTTGAAGGGAGGGAAAGAAACGAATCCCGACGTTAATGGTTCGTGAAAAAATTAAAAAAGCAATAGTTTTTGACTTCTATTCACCTGATTGTGGATACAGATGGCTTCCTTATCAGCGATTTGGTCTCTCCTCTATTTCCGTTCAAATGAGAACCTCACCACCTAGTTGCTATCAGAAATATTGCCTATAATTAAGCTATGCTCAAAGGTCTTCCTTTTTACGTAGCCCCGACTCTCTGACCCTTAATGAGCATAACATTGAGTACTTCTGAGGGGCAGAATTTCAGAGCCGCTGTCTGCTGGAAGTCTAAATTCGGTCATCTTATTGCTATTTGTAAACAATAATAATTAAGTAATTTACCCAGGGTTCCCTCTTTCACTAAAAGTATAAATAAAACATAGACCGCTAGTATTTTGGAGTGACCAGAAAATAAAATTCCGTGTTCGACCAAATACCTTTTTTGGGGAGTGCTTAAGAGGGCAACGTTTAAGGGCGACGTCTATTCTCCAGTGGGTGCACTGTATGTTATAGGGGTTCTGGGTCACTTACAGGTGCCTCTCTATAAAAGCTACCAGGAAGGAATTATGTATGCGTTTTGGGCCCGCCTTTTGAAACATCATAAATGCCAATGAAAAGGTCGAAAGTCACTAAAGATGGCCTTGGAAAGTGTCGTAATTCCCCCATTCGAAATCCACCACAAACAGGGCTAAAATTGGTAAGCAATCTACTTGAAAGTAGAGTAAAATTTCAAAACATAGCTCTACTCTTCTCACATATAAAAACATATCCAATATTTTTATATGACTTCAGAAATTTGAAGCACTATGTATTTCACTGCATACCAGGGCACATGGGAGTCGAAGAAAGGCTGCCGCCTCGAAGCACTCAGAAGGGAAAATATCTCACTAAGGGAACTGTATTGGCGTAACCCAATGGGCCTTCGTATAGCTAAAAGCTTACAAGGAGGGTATAATCTGAAATTATACAGGCTACTCAATGGCCTCTCTAAGAAGAAAATAAAAATCAGTACAGTCTTTTTGACGGCCCATTATAAGCTAATAGCTCATTTGTTTAATCTAGGTATCTGGTTAAGCGACCTGTGTACTGGTCGCAATGCATTATCTATAGATATATTCTAAGGAAGGTGCATAGACCTATTTGACAGCATTTACTCGGCCATATTGATCGATGATGCTCCAGTGAAATTTCGATTTGGTACGAGACAAAATTTAAGAATTTGAATTATTTCTGTCGCTGAAAAAGGTATTCGATTTCCGATGCCGCCAATTTGAAGAGATACATATTCTAGCATCATTTCTTTAGCAAACCCCGTGATTCGTGATTACTGAACAAACTTTGCTTAAAGAAATTTTAATGATTTTTCTGTTTTACGAAAGTTTTATAGAATATTTCCTGTTGCTTTCTTCATCGGTTTTTACTTGCATTTTTTTGTTTTTTCTTGGGCGCTGATCACCAGGCTTAAACTTCTTAAATTTTTTTTTGGAAATTTTTTGGGGCCGTTCAGGAGCTTTAAGGAACTTTTCGGGTTTAGAAATTTTTTCGGTACTTTTCCGAATTCTTTGTTGTTAATATTTTTTTTTTTGTTTTTCGATATCTTTCGGCATTTATTTGTGACTTTTTGGGACCTGCCAGTTCAATTTTCCAAAGCTTCTCCCTAAATAAAAATTCAGTAAGCACTCGAAAATGAATTAAAAAATAAAATTAAATATGAATTTGGTATCGAGATTTACATAAAATATGCAAAAACTATACTAATAAGTTTAAAAAAGTCGTTTGGTATGTACATATCTAGCTTGGTTATTTAGTAGGTGTTCCAAAATCATTAGTGTGGATTTGTTAAAAAGGATCTATACGTAAATTTTCTCCTGCATCTCTACCCATCTTTCGCTAATCACAATTTCGCTTAAAATGTCAATCAAATGGCAATTTTGTTTTTGAAAGTATGCATAAATTACAAAAATCAAAATAAAGTAAGCAAAAAAGCAAAGTTGCTGGCTGATCGCATGCGACACATCACTCATACGCCGCGTACAACCGAAAAATACCTTAAAAGCTGAAAGTAATAAGCATCAATCTATGGATATGCCGGAAGCTATGTATGTAGGCACGGCTACAACTAATAACTTATTACTATCACAAAAAAAGGGAATGAAATATGCAAAAAAGGGGTTGAACAAGGAAGCAGGAAAAATCGACGCGTGCATGCTGTGACAGAGAGCAAAACTATTTAAAAAGTCATTCAAGTAATGGCAACAAAAACTCTATAACACGCACACCGGCATCATAGCAAAATTCAAATGCACGCACACATGAGCAATTATTTATATTGAAAAATCTAGCTCAGCCTAGTATAGGCATACGGCTTAGTAGCAGCTAAGCATTTATCCTTGAAAGCATTAATGCCGACATAATGACAAAATAAATATGCGAAAGTGGTTTTAAGAGCGACATGCCGCACATACATACATAGATACATTCAAGCAGCCACTTTTGCACACACACTTTTTGTGAATTGCAATAACAACAAGAAAGGTGTATGTAAATAATAATAATTTCTAAAACGAGTGCGAGTTTTTGGGTGCGGGAGGGCGCTGCAGCAACAATAGTCTGTTTACATACATTTGTTGGTAAAAAGATGAAATTTCTATACTATAATGTAGAGAAATTAGTAGCTTAAGCAGTGGCTTGTAGGTAGCTAGTGGGTAGACATACATACATATATGCTTATGCCGATGTGTAGCTATTCAAAACATTAAGCGTACGTGTCTAATGTACGCTAATGACGCTATGCTATGCGGGTGATTGAAGCGAAGGGTTTTGCACAACAACTTTCTTGAGGTTTTCTAAGTCTAAGCACTACAATAAATGAGCACACAACAATGGCATTATCTACCAAACAGCCAGGGGCTTCGCCTTGTACTCAAATACGGGTATGTAGTCAAAAAACTCAATTCGTGCGTGAGTTAGTAGTACAAGAGGCTACACAAAACGGTGTCGGCTTAAATGCCAACAAAATGCGCAAATAATAACAATTCTTATGATTGTGATAACAATTTCTATTATTACAGCACTTGAGTGTGCTTTTACCGCTTCACATTTTTGTTCATATACTCGCAATTATATGCACGTAAGCATACAATTATGTAATTGTTCAAAAAATAGGTATTTTAACGCAACAAGGTGAGAAGGTTCGCGGTGATTTAAGAACAGAATTTTAGTGGCTCGATAGACAGCCAAAATATGGCAAATGACTTTTTGAAATAATATTTTGTATGCGAAGTGGATTAAGACTTTCGGGGAACCTGTTCTCAAAGGAGTGGTTAATGGGTGGAGGGAAAAATATGTTCGGCATTGGCAAGAGAGTCATTAAAATAGACTTCTAGAAGTCCTTGCTATTGATCTTTGTAAGCGGCTCGCTACAAACCCCATCAAAGCGAGATTCTTCAACTTAACACTAATTTACCGACGGCGAGACATCTAAAGGGCTCTTCCGTGAGTACTTGGAGCACACCTACTTACCAGCTCTGGATCTGTCACGATTTCAAAATAGTAATAGAGCTTCTATGCGCCAAAGGCCGATTAGCTTCGGCGGGGCTCAATACTTGGTATTTGGAAGCATAAAGCTTCAGCATTAAAAGACTCTTCAGCTTACAATGTTATCTCCAGATCGAAGGGCGAAAAACTAAATCGATCATGTTGTGTTAGGCGGGAGGCACGTTTCCACACTGGATGTTGGATTTGCATACGTACGATTCAGGGGCCTAACAACTGCGATGACTGTCTTCTTGCAGCAAAGATAAGCAAACGCTTCCTTGCAGCAAAACACCCTGGTTTAACTCGTAATATAAGTACAATAAAAACTTGACATTGGCAAGCTTCAATCGCAGCAGACAGCCAACAGGTTCCCCGCTGAGTACTTAATTGGATCTCAAGCCGATCGGGCGCTTCACATTTAGTATGTAACTTAAGAAAGCTCTATGCTACAGTCAAGCTTTTGGCCTAAACGGATTTATATATTTGGAGAAAAATTAAAACATTCACCATACCTTTGACAATTAATATTTGACCGTAATGTAATTTTTACCAAATTAAAAACAAACCTACTACTTATAACAAATTCTACTTATGATGTAACCGTTGTAAAAAATAGAATTTCTACTCTAATGAAAAATATTAATTTCAAGACAAAACAAACATTTTTCAATTACTGAAAATTTTATGAAATTTGCCGTAATTCGCTAAAAAGTGTCAATTTCGAAACCGAAATATGTATTGTTTATATTTTTCAATATACATATACTACATATTTATTTTGTATTCCACGCACGCTGAAGTCCCCAGATTTGAATACTTGCTTACATCCTGAGGACAAGAGAGTTCTACATTGTATCGCGCACGGATTTTCCCATATATGTATATGTATGTGATAAACATGGCTTAAATCTGCTTATGCATTTTGTTCATTTGAATAGTTGAAGTACTTACTAAGTGTAAGTCCATTGTGCGTTTGAAAAAGGCAATCAAATGTTCCTCAACCAATTCCAAAGGATTTAAAAGACAATGCAAAATATGAACTCTAAAACTGGGTTCCTACTTTTCTGATGAAATTTAGCCCTTATTTTTTCCCCCGGTCAATAATAATCGTTATTTTTGAATTTTCATTCTTTAAATCATACATACTATAACCGTTATTTTCAGATAAATTTTTTTTTTATGGCGGAAAACTTAAACGGATTTAAAAATGTATTCACTGTTTGAGGACTCTAAAAGGATTTTGGACTCCACGCGATGATCGAAAAAGGCGCAGTTTGGTTCAAGATGCGTTTATAAAATTATTTAATGCGCACTTTTCACGCCAAGCTCGCATAATGGAAGCGGCATTTTGTGAAAAAAAACAAAAACCAAAATTTATAAATTAACAAACCTAATACAATTTGTGAGATAAAGATTTAACAAAAAACGAAACTCGTTAATAAAAAAAACTATATTTGGCGAACAATTTTCTAAAATAGCTAAAGAGGGCGAATAATCATCTAGAAATGGACCTAAATACTACAAATTAGTTTGAAATCAATAACGGTAAAAAATTACAAAAAAATTTAACAATAATTTGTATTTGTTGGATCTGGATCAGTCATAAAAAATTAAGTTATCGAAAGTTACTAAGTTACCGAATTTGATCGAGTTATTACTGCTTATCGAACTTTATCGTGTTACCAGAGTGTAACGAGTTATCGAAATTTGTCAATAGCTTTCGAAAAATATGGAGCTATTAAAATTAACTGAGTTATCGAAATTGATAGAGGTATCCAAAGTTTATCAATTTATATCGAGATATATACATTTTTAAGTAATCGAAATTTATCGAGCCCTCGAAAAGCACAGTTATCTAAAATTTTTTGAAATTATTTTGTTGAGTTAACAGATTTTTGTGTTTTTGAAATTCGTTGAATTATCGATATGAATTTATCGAAATTTATCGAAAACCGAATGTATCGGCTCAATTCTGGGTCCTGCCAAAGACCCCCAAAGACCTTCAAAGATATGAAAAATTTTGGTCATGTTTTAGTTCCAAAGCAGGACGTGTTCAACGCAACTTTGTGCCTTATAAGTTAACCGACGTGCTTAGTTAGCCTCTCCAAGGGTCTTAAAAAGTAGAAAAAACGGTCGAATTTCGAAAGTAACTGGCACCTCGAGTATGTATTAAATCTGCTGTCGAAAAAGTAATAGACACTAAGAGGTTCTTTTCATATGTGAGGAATAGGGGGGTAATTGCTCATATTAAGTACAAGCAAACGAGAGAAAAAGCAAAAATTATTCTAATGTTAAAAGTCCCTATTAGAAAAGCATTAACATTTTACAAAAAAAAAAAGAAAAATAATTTAAACTTCAGCTACTGATGTGGAATATTTAAAATATTTTTAAAATTTCCAGTCTAAATTGATGGGAGTTCGTTATTAAGAACCTAGCAGATAAATTTTGATCTGGGAGAAGTACGAAATTTTATTCATGTTAGTCGTAGAGACTTAATCGATATATGTATAGTTGGTAAGCCACTAGGTTTCAGCGCTAAAACAAAGCTTAGATANCCTCGGTGCCGCCATCGCTTTCTAACGCCGGGAACCGCCTGCAAAAAAAAATTAATATGCATTAAAGTTCATATGTATACACAATATAAAGACTCTGTTTAGAAACGTATTTCTGAAATAAACCAATTATAGTCTCAGCACACCGTGAAACCTGCCGGAAGATAAACCTGCAACCCCAAAGCTACTCCTTAAAGTGTGCTATGTACCTAGCTAATTTCGGTGTGCCTACTGGTATGCCTAGTTTGTATGGACTGTTGATGGATTGGTGTTAAACTCAATGCAACAAGAAGTTAAGCACAAGCTTACGCCGATTCATTGCACCAAAATCATACAGAAAACCCAAAAATTTTAAACCGAATTGTTTGTAAGGGAAAATAATATAAAAACCAAACGAAAATAAAAACAAGAAATTCCATAATGTCAACATAAATATTTAGAGTTTCTGGCAATGGTCAGATGCCGCAGCACTCCGACTGGATTTTACTTACCTCCGCGATTGATGCTGCCCGGGGAGTAGGTCGGCTGTGGCACACTTGATGTTGCGGCGCTGCTGCTGTTGTTGGTGTTGTTGGTGTTGTTGCCGCCAACAGCTGTTACTGCTGTGACGGCACCCTCGCGCGCAATATCCTGCATCACCGATGCCGCGCGACTACCCACACCAGCTGGCTGCAAAATGGTGTAGTGCTTGGTATCGGCGGCCGATGTTGCGCCAACCACACCACCAACAACAGCAGCGTCATGTTGTCTACCCAGCAAGTCGCTGTGTTTGAGACCAACCGCTGCCCGCTGTTCTGCAATTTTGCCATCGCAGGCGCCAATTTGTGAAGCGATATCGAAACCATTGCTGATTGCAGCTGCTGCGGTTGTTGGCGTTGGGCGCGGTGGTAACATGGGCGCGGCGTGGCAGCTTGGATCGTGTGGAAGTGTGTGTTGTTGGTAGCTCAGATATGCAGCGGACGTATCGTTGTTGCTACTGTAGATCGGGTAGTGTGTTGGTGGCACCGCCGCTGTACCTGGCGGATATGGAATTAGGCCATTACGCTTGAAATCGGTTGGTGGCTTGAAGGCGGACGCCTGCGAGAATGAGCTGCGCTTGCGGTCGTCCAGCACCTGTTCGGGATGCTGTGAGTTGAGCCGCGCCTGATCATTTTCCTTTTGTCTGTGGAAACGTAAGAGATCTGTGTGAAAATTTGTTTCTTTGCTTATCTGCTGCGACTGGGCGCCATACTTTTGTTTCTCTTCGAAGAGATTTTGAAATGGTGGCGGGTTCTCGTCCTGATCCTGCAATCGATAGAGATTGTTGCGTGCCTCTGGTGGCCAACTGCCCGATAAGCTTTTCAGTGCTGCCTGTGTCTCGCGTATCAGCGTTTCGTCGTCCTGATCGTCAGCGGACGCTTTTGTGGCCGCGGTTGTGCTCACTGCCGTTGGGCGATCAGGCGAATGCACTGTGGGTGTTGTGGTCATGGCGACGGAGGTTTGCAGCGTGGCAACGTCGAGCGGTGATGTATTCGATTTGTTTGTATTACTGTTGTTGTTGTTGTTGTTGGTTACAGCGCGTTTCTTTTGTGGCAAAGTGGGCAATTTGTCTTCAGTTTTAGTGTTATTGTTGTTATTATTATTTGCCGATTCATCATCACGACTAGAGCGCTTTTTACGTTTCACTGCAGTTTCGTGTTCTTCGGATTTGGTGTTGTTATTGTTGTTGTTCTCAGCCAAAGCGGTATCCTTGGAGAGTGGTCGTTTGGACAAAGCCATGACGAAGTTGAATCTAAATATATGTTTGTGTTAAAATTGCATATTTTATATAATAATATGTAATGTTATTATGTTCGTTTTGAGTTGGAGGTTAAGCTTTTATAGTATTTTTTTCATGAAGAAAAATTTAAAAAGGAAATGTGAATGCAATATCCTCAAATCTTTGGTCGAATCTAAATACCGTTGATATTTTTAAATTTTTATCCTTTGAGCCTGAATCAGAAGAGCTGGCAATATGATCTTCTAAGAAAACAGAAAAACCAAAATATAGCTTCTAAATTTAAAAGATGGTATTTAAAGGACGAATTGATATTGAAAAAGTCCTGTTAATTAGTTTTATTTTATAAGCTAATCAATTTAGTAGGATTAAATTCGAGGCTGTGGTCTTGTATATATATAGGTATTTAACAGGCAAATTTTTTTCAAAACTAAATATTGCAAAATTTCAGGGAAGTTCAAGAAAAAAATTTAAATATGACATTTTCAATATTTATTCATCCTTATGCACCAAAAAAAATATTTTCTTTTTCAATTCTACAGAAATTCCTCATTTATTTGGTACTCATATTTATTGTAATTCTACATTGCACTGGAAATTTTCATCAGAACGTAAGGAAGTTACGTTAGATTTCAAGACGAAGAAAAATTCCTGTAGAAATATCCACAAGACCGATGTTCAGAACATACTTGAATTATGGAATGAATACTTTTCCATGAACTTAAATAGTAATAGCACAGAATATGCAGAGACTGCAAGTTAAGTCATATCGGCCCAATTTAAAAGAAGGGTCAACTTCCGCATGATCAGACTTTTACACACCCCGTATACGGTTTTATCGCGCTTATCTTGTGAAGGTTTAAAGCTCATCGTCACCGAACTAATTGGGCTGTATTAGTGCGGCTTTACGCCAAGTAGACTAGGTATTTTTCAAACGCCAAATTGTTGAAAAAAAATTCGCGTGAGGAGGATCGACATTCATCAACCCATTGTGCCCTCGATAGCACGAAAAGGAGCTGTCTGTACAACGCGATGTCTGAATTTGGTATCCCTGCGACAAAATACGGCTGTGTATATGACGTTGATACCATAAGCTCACTAAAAAGTGGGAAGAACACTTAAGAACCGTTCGATACTAAATTAGGTTTCGTGTGATTTCTTGAACTTGATTTTGTAGAATATAATTAGAGCCGCAGAACTGAATAGCTTAAGTACAATCGCACAATTTTTTCTGCCTTTTCCAGGTTGAATATGAAAGTAAAGCGAATGGTTCTGGAGGTGAGAAGAACATATCAAATCCCTTTCAAAAAATATACAGGCGCCTTTTTTGTGCCATGGCACCACGTCAAGGTAGGGGACTTCGTTTCATGGACGCCTTAGCCGAGAGGTAAGGCCAAGATTCGATCCGCGGTCAGAAAAATATCAAACAAAGTTTTTCCTAAAAGCAGGTCTTGAAAAGGCTTCTCAGAAAATACCATTGACCGTTAGAAAGCAGGGTAAAAAATAGGGCCCTCCATTTACGTAACAACACCAAGACACACACTGCAAATTGAGGACGGTTAATACCGCCGGCGGTTGAACTTTACAACGTCATAGACATATCCGAAGGTGGTAGCAGAGGAAGAGAAAGGCCTCATTTGCGATGGAAAGACCAAGTAGAGAAGGTCTTGGCTTCACTTGGCATTTGAAATTGGCGTCATTTCGTGTAGAAGAGAAACGACTGGCATTCGGTGGCTTGTTTTGTATCATAAAAATTGTTGTGAACCCGGTTAAAGTTCCAAGAAAAATTAAGAGTTCCATTAAGAAACGAATGTCGGATTTTAAAATTATCGTTGACAAAATTGTAGCCGGTCGTATCAAAATTATATCTAATTCATGTGTGACAATTGCATTTGCATTATTTTAGTTTTTACAAATATTAAGATCATTGAAAAACGTGCAATTATAATATGAACCAATTTTTGTGACAATTGTCACAGTTGCCTACAGGCGTCTATGAAACAGGAAAAAAGTCGCCAACAATTCTGGCTCTATGTTGATCGAGTTGATTGACACTATTCTAGAATAAGCATACCCATATGTATACATATTCACACTACGAGCAACAATTTTATTTAATAGGAGACATTTTTAATGACTACTCAGGATACAAGTTCTGACCAAATATTCTGCCGAATTGAAGGTCCGAAATTCTCACTAAAAAAAGTTTGTAAGACTTTGAACGATCCAATGTTTCTTACTAACGGGTGATTTTTTAAGAGCTTGATACCTTTTTTTTTAAAAA